GAGAAGGAATCGGCAGGGCAGCGCGGAGGTGCTGGGCGAGGCCCACGCTGACATGCTCCCGCTACTTTTTTTTTTTCCCCTTCTCTTCGGAGGCCCATCAAGCGACTCCCCTTTTGTGCTAACCCAAGCAAGCAAAAAAAGTTTGCTTAATTAAAAGCCTGTCTTTTCTTCCTTCTCTAAAGCAGCCAGAGGAAAATAGCACGCTCTTCTGAGGTAGAGGGAGGGCTGGGAACGCCTGGTCGGGTCTCACCCCGACAATCCCGCTCACTGTGAAGAAGTAGGACAGTGAGTCAGTTCATTCAAGTGGATGCTGTTTATTCAATGGGACATTCTTCCTGTAAAACTCCTAATAAAACCAAAGCCTCGCCTACGCAGTGGGGAAGGGGAAAGGGTTTTGTGCACAGACTGTTTATTTACAGACGCTTTCTGGAAAAAAAGCTGAGAAGAAGAAAGGAGGAAAGGAAAAGGAAAGTAAGGTGCAGAGCTATAAACACATTTGGGAGTAAACCAGGACTGGTACAGTCTAGCCCGTCACCTTTTCCGTCATATATCCTGCTCCTAAGCTGTTAGAATAAACCTTGCCTGTTAAAAACAAGCTGTTTGCTAGAGCTTTCAAAACGAATGCTTTGCTGTGGTTATTTGCAGAGTACAGGCGGGTGCCTGAAGCTTTTATTCCTGATGAGAACTACAGATGCTGGCCATCTTACCACCATAAGGCCTGCCTCCTCTCCGTGTTTGACATCAGCGAAGCCATTGAGATCTGTGACAGCTACTCCCAGTGCAAAGCTTTCGTCTTAACTAACCAGACGACTTGGACAGGTAGGTCGCGGATGCTGTGGAGCAGAAACAGCATCCGAGTCAGGTATACTGGCTGCTTTAGGTGTTTTAATACAGTCTGGGGGGTGTGCTGTGCTGGGCTGTGGGACCCACCACCAGCAGCTGTAAGTTTCCGAAGCTCCGGCTGAGGTGGTTTGATTTTTGGTGGGGCTTCACTTTGCCTGTTGTCAGGGGAGCAGGAACCTGCAGGTGGACTCAGAGGAGCTGGCACTACAGGGCTGCAGCCATGTGCACCATGGGTCTCCAAACCGTGGGGTCTGAAATTTTATTTTAAAACACAGCAGCAGAAACAACAACAAAAGCCCATGACCTGTTTCTGCAGTTAAGTGTGCAGGACGGGGTCCAACATCTGGATTGAAATAAATCTTTTCAATCCATGTGGTTGTTGTGGTTTGACACAAAACCAAACAGGTTCTCCCGTGCATCTAGCTGGGACTTCCTGGCTGCTGTCAGAGGTGCCCTGCCGCTGGTGGGCGGCACGCTCTGCTTCTAGCAGCAGGGCTTTGGCGAAAGGACAGCGAGGAGGGAGGGTTTAAAACCAGATAGAATTAGAAGTAGAACTTCCAGGGGAAAATCCCATTTGCTACCGCAACTCATTTTCTTGTCTGACAGAATACACTCGTTGAAAAGAGAAATATGTTTTCCAAAAGGTCTGCGGGCCTGGCAGTCCCAGTGTGGTTCCCCTGCAGGCAGGCAGTCGGTGCCGATTGACATCAAGCGGAGAATTGGCCCTGGCTCGCTGCTTCTGCACCAGACTCCTGCCTATTTCAGGCAATTCCAGAGCAGTATGAGAAACAAAAATGTTACACATCTCTGATAAAAATCTCTGGTAGCAGCAGCTCTGGAGTGGCTGGGGAGTTCAAAGAGCCGAGTGCTGCAGCCTTTGCTGCGTGCCCAGGACGTGCCCCTGCGCCTGGCCACGGACGGCTCGGCTGGCAGTGTTCCCCCGGGCACACGGCACTCCCTGAAGGACAGATTAAAAAAGACATGTTTCTGTCTGTAAGGTGCAGTGCACCAAATCCATGTTCTTTCATACTCTTCCCCCAAGGTAAAACCCCCACTGAAGTCAGGGTGAGTTTTTTTCTGCCATGTGTTGTCCCCACACACGTAGGGCGGTTTCCCTGCCTGTGACTGCCATTTTCTGTGAGGGCCAGGTTGGCTCTCCGGCTCCTGTCCTTGAGAGGAAGGGTGGCTGATGCCAGCCGCACCTTGGGAAGGCTGATGGAAGTTGTTGCACTGCCACAGGCTTTGGTGTGGCAAATTATTTAGGCTCTGAGGCTCAGCTTTCTGTCTGTACGTCTGCGATCACAACATGCCTTAACCTTAAAGTCAAAATTTACCCTGTGTGCAGTTGCGTGCTTTAGCTGTGCTTAGCTGAGCAACATAAACATACCCCAAAGCCGGGCTCATATACATGCCTATTTCTCAGGACAGGTCCCCGGCCCTGAAAGGATCACAAACTAGTAGAAACTTCAGACAGTTCATGTGTTTCAGAGTGTTTTAGGCACTGTAGTGCTATGGCTTTCTGCATTTCTTGATCTTCTGGGAGGTGTGAAGAGAGACTCCCATGGAACCTAGAAAAAAGTATTTTGTATTAACCTTGCCTGTGGCTAACAAGTGACTGCCAGGTCATTGTGTCAGACTATTTATAGATAGACTACTGGAGTTAATTAATATACTAAAAAAGTAATTATTATGGCAGCGGGAAATTCATAGGAAGTTTAGAGCAGCTCCTGTCTCAGGTTATAATATTAAAAGCAAATGAGACATAACAGCAATATTTCTAGTCTTATTTATAATTTCCTATACTGTGTCATTCCTGATGCACAAGCGCTTGAGTCCCTGGAATCTGCAGCGTGGAGGCTTGCTCCATAGTGGAGGCATCCCGTTTGCTGTGTGATACCTTTGAAGAAAACAGCGCTATGGGAGCCCCCTAGAGAGGCAGGCTGGGAGTAAAGAGCCTTTGGCTTTCTGAAGTTCAGCGAGAGGGAAGGCAGAGGTTGAGTAGCTGTGGAAGATCTCTGTGTGGCCTCTGCTCCAAGGAGAGGCAGGGAGGGTGCGGGTTGGCTGTCTGCATGGCAGGTGCCTGACGCTGCCCAGGCGCTGAGTGCTTGCTGCGGCTTTTTGTGTGAGGAGTCGCAACCGTGTTCCCGCTTGTTTAAAACCCAGAGCTGCGCAGCGATCGGCTGGAGCTATTTCAGAGAAAGTCGCGTTTCACATGCATTGCGCTGATCGGTTTTGCAAAGATTCAAGCACGCAAAGATGATGATGCTCCTGTACCATCGAATGAATGCCCTGAACCCAAGCCTGTTTTTGTCAGTGGGAGAGTGTTTAAGTACGTTTTTTAAAGATCATGTGAAATTTATATTAAAATTTTCAGACCTCTCCTTCCTAACACATTTACTGTGTGCAGCCGTATCTTGACCATAATTAGATAAGAGTAAACATAGTCTTATAGCATATAACTCTCACAGCAGGGGAGAATCAATGTCATTTTAGACAAAAGCTTTTCAGTTTCAGACCAGGTGAAGTTAAGAAAGAGTTCAGTCTCGGGTTGGGTGAAGAATGCATAGGTTGAAGAAGAATACGAAATGTCAGTATTTGAAAGTTTGCAACCTTTTGCTTATCGCTTCTAATCATTTTTATTTTCTTGCCTTTTCCTACTTGGTGCAGGTCGACAGCTTGTCTTCTTCAAGATGGCCTCAAATCACATCGTGCCTGATCCTGACAAGATAACATATGTGAAGGTGACAGACTGACAGCTAAAGTGGCTCAGTCTGACTCGTGAGTGACAAGAGCTGTTTGTGTATAAATATAGGCAGCTGTTAGGTATAAGGTGGCTGTGGCCGGAGAGATAATTGCACTATTACTCATTCTAATCTATAGAGTGCTAAACAAAACTTTAAAGAAATAACCTGCATGACCAGGATGGATGTGCAATAAAACAACATTTTGAAAATGTGACTTTTTTTTTAAAAAAAAAGCAAAGTACAAGTATGATACACTACTAGGATATAATTTTGGGTATAAATCAGCTGGCAGCTCTGGCTTTTCTAACCAAGGTTAGCATAATGTTTCTGACCTGTGCATGTGTGCACAGGGATGAAAGTTGATCATTTCTATGGGAAGTCTGTATCCTCCGCGCTGATACTTATTTGGGCACGTACAATCACAACAGACTAACTGAAGCATATCAGGTTGTAAGCTGAATAGCAAACGTTTCTGAAGACAATCAGCATTTGTGTTAAAGCTATCAAATATGCAATGCCGGCGTATTTGTCAAAAGGAAGGGACTGGTTATGTTTAGAATTGCAAGACTGTAGCTAATTTTCATTTTTGCTTCCAATGTTATCATAAAGTTTCATTTTTAATTTAAAAGAGCCATTTTGTAGGTCTAGCCAATCACATAAGCATATGAATAGTCCCGCTGAAAGGGTAGGGACTTACCCAAGTGCCGAGTGCTTTGATGAATAGGGATAGGCCTAAGCATATGCTTACAATTAAGCCTGTGCTTAAGACTTTTGTTGAATGGAGTTTGAATTGTTCAGGAAGCCACATCTTTGACAGACTGGCAAAGCAATCCAGCTGGCAGAACAGTGCTAGCTTAATAACTATCTTGCAGTTATTCGTATTCTTGATCATCAAATCCTTGGTTTCCTAAGGCACTGCTTGCTAATTCTTAGAGTGGATGAAGAAAATGACCTTAATAATTGCAGATGAATGCTAGCCTTAATTCTATATAAAATGCATTTTACAGGCATGGTGTGTCTAGAGAATTTGCTTTCAGTGAAAGCAATAAAGTAAATGTTAAAGTGACCAATGTCATACTGTTTTGTAGTTTGTACAGTCAGGAAAAAAAATGTGCTTTTGTTTCTCAAATTGTTTATTTTTGTAAAAAAAAAATAAAAGATTAATATGATTTCTTTCATGCTCGATTTTTTGCGTTGCAAATAAATGCCTTCTTCCAGTGAAAACTTAGGCATAATGTATTGTATGTAAACTTAAGCCTGGGATATTTTTTCCAGGAAGGAACTGAGGTATTTCCAGTGGCTCCTGGTGAGGGGGGTGTTTCTAGGGGTATGTGGTGGCTTTCTCTAAACAGTTGCCTGTCGCAAAGCAAGTGACCATTAGAAGACAGGGCTTGAGCAGCCTTTCTTCCTCTGTAGTTTGAGTCACATCGGTACCAGCCTTCTAACATTTGGAAGGGTGAGGATGAGAGCAGAACCTGAAGGAATTACTCATCGGGCTAAATGGTGGTTTTTCTTACTGGGCTGTACCAAGGAGGGTCCGAGGAGAGCAGGAGGGCCAAGGAAGCTGGGCAGAAATGCTCATAGCCTGTGTGACTATGCAGGAGAGATGGTGACGCCATTGGCAATGGATCTCGTCTCACTGCGGTTTCTCTGAGGTCACGGACACCCTAACGACTTCTGGCAATGGACTGAAATGACACGCTGTAACGGCTGTAACTCACAAATTATCAAACTACCAGCCGTAATAGCTCAGCTGATTGTGTCGCTGTGCAGTTAGGAACCCATCAATCATGCTGTGGTAATAAACAAACACTACAGATTCTTTTAAAATTGCTACATAAATCATGCCAACACATACTGCACAGTTCGTTGAAGTGATATGGGTTGTTGGCACTGAGGTGCTGGTATGTATTTTAAAAGTCTTTAACCTCCTGTGATTGCCTTACCGTTAAGCACTGTATACTGCTCCAAAAATACTCAGTGTTTAAAAATGATGTGAACGGTTAAATTCTTTAGTTGCATCCCTAGGTAAAAAATACCAACATTTAAAAGGAAAAAAAAAAATCAGGGTAATTCTTTAATGTTGTAGGCAGGTAACTTAGGATAATTTCATTCCGTCACTTTCCATGCGCCGGAAAAAAAATGCCTCTTAAGTCAGGAATTGTTTATCTCTGGAATCAAACAAACTTGCCAAACCAATTTACATCAGCTTTTGCAAACAGAGATCAAGTAAGCAAGAAAGAAACATAACCGCGAGCCAAGAAGCTGGATTCTAGATTTCAGCAGTAATCAACTTTATACAGGCAGTTTTATAACTCTTTGAGAGTAAGGCTTTCCAATGGAAATGCTGATTAACATCTTAATCAGAGAGGTGTGATACTACAATAAGTGAATTTAATAGCTGTAATAAGCACTGGCAAAAGTCTAAATTTATGGGGAGAAAGCGTCTTTGGCAGCAATGGGTCTGATTCAGCAAAGTGCCTGGCTGGCGCTTGTGGTATGGAAACCCCTGAGAAGCTACAGAGGAGGAGGAGGAAGTAAGGCACAAAGTAAGCTGGCAGGCCTGGGCCAGTCAGCCTGGGAGCTACTCCACTTCTTCTGTGGAAAAGGCATTTCTATCTGTTTTTTTTCCTCTAACATTTTGACTGCTTTTTACATTTCCTGGCTTCCTCAAGCCACAGGGTAGAAACATGAAAGAAGACACCCACAGGGCTTTAAATGACTGAGTTCTGGGTGTGTGCAGGCACCTGTGTGTATGTGTGTACATATTTATGCACGTGTCATGCTGAACAGGGAGAGCTTATATATTTCCTCAGTGAAAAACCAATCAGCTATGCACAAAATGAAGTGCTAAACAGGATGTTGAGTTCATCTGGAGAAGTGAGAGCCCCATGAAGCGGTGGGTGCTGCGGCTCTGCGAGGGGCTGTGCTGAGCGTTCGGTCCCATCCAGTGCCGCAATGGCCTGGCCAGGCTGCGGCTCAGAGCGCCTGCAGGAGCTACCCTCCATCTCTGTGACAGTTTGGGGAAGGGGTGACGCTCTCCCCGCTACTGGGAACAGATGCCGGACAATGAAACAGGCACTGCTCGGCATCATCTCTGGTGTGACATCCTGGGGATGTAGTGAAGACATGTTAGGAACTTTGGTCTTTGCTTAGACCAAAATAAAAAAGTGTTCTAGTTTTCTGTATCTTGTCTGAGCCTACTGTTCTCTCTCTGGTCATTTTTCGAAGCTTTCTCCCCAACTTCAATGCATCTTTTTAAGTGGAAAGCTGAAGTCTCATGTATTCAGCTCCAGAAACAGGTTGTTACAACTTGCGTCACGTCTAAGAGGAATCTGTGGTGAAATTACTGTTATCACCTCGAGCATTCATCACCCTACGAGAAAGCCTGAAAATGAGTGGCCTGGCCCTGTTGCCAGCCGAGGAGCTTGGGTAAGTTGGTATAGTGAAGGGAGATTGAAGGGGATTGAATGGGCAGTGAGACACAAGAATTTCAGAAACACGTTTTTCCAATATGAGATAATGGAGATTAATGTAAGTATGTATGACTATTCCTAACGTGCTTTGCTCTGCCTCTCCCTGCTTCACTGAGGCGTCTTGCTTGGTACTTCTGCCAGCCATGACAACCAAGTTTCCCGTAAGGTTTGTGAGAAGGATGGCAGAGTGGGCTGCAGGGAGGACAGCAGCTCGGAGTGAAGGCAGGTCTTCCTGTTGCCATTTACTGCATGTGCTGTGGCAACCACTGGGGACTGCTGTCCTGGAGCAGGACCTGACCACGGTAAGTGCACAGTGAAGACCTTGTCGCTACCTCTAAAATTCATCTTAGCAACTTGTACCACAGCTCATGGGAAGTCAATGCAGCCTTCCATTCATACCAGGTGAGCAAAGAAGTAGACTTGGTGACTAATCAGTCCGTCACAGACAAGCATTCTGGAAAACATGGCTACCCCATGTGGCCTCTGTCTGCTATGGTTATGGAACCCTGCAGCTCCCCCGGGTTTGTCCTGCACTGCTGCTCTCCCACAGCCTGCTCCAACCTGGGGACATGCGGGAGGCAGGCGTTGCAAGGAGAAGGTAAAACATATACTGTTATTTCACTTCTACTGGTGGATGTGGGGTGCTGACCCTAGTAATGTTTATAAGGCCCCACGCCTTCATGCACTGTTGCTATTTAGAGCAAAAAAGACACTCTTGTTGATAATAATTTAGATTAAGCAAATGATTTAGAGGACTTGTAATTCAAAGCATATGGAAGGTGACAGCAAACATCCAGAGATTGTTATGTTGCCTGTCAGAAAGAAATATATGAATAGAGGGATGTTCAAACTTTGATAGAGAGCGCCTTATCTTGTATTCTTTAGTACTAAATTCTTTGAAGACTCACTAAAACCTACTACCAGGGAGGCAAAAGAAAAAAAAAGGGAAAAATGAAGCAGCAAGACAGTTCACAAGTTTTTCCAGGAAAACATATCCCTAACCTTTTGGTCAAAATGTGAAATGCTGTTGAAAGAAGTCAAACAGATTCGGATTGAAAAGACTCAAGTGAAGTTTTCATCAATTGACTGCAGAAAGAAGAAAACGGGGCTCAAAGAAGAAGAGGAAGATTTGTGAAAAGCAGGCAGGATATAAAGACTTCACAATCATACTCTGCTTAATGTTTTTTGAGATGTGACCATTTGATCCTTTTTTTTTAAGAAAACATTTTTCTCTCTCTCTGAGTTTTAAGCAGGAGCGAGCCACTTTGGGCTGAGAGCCTCGGAGAGCTCCCAGGGCACGCAGGGTCCACATCCATCCTGCAGCACAGACCAGGACCTTGGCATTCTAACTCTAACGACTAAGTTGCCTGCAAGTAAGTACGAGTGATTTTTTTTCAAGTTGACATGGATGCTATTAAGAGCTGCATTTTAAAAAGCTGAAGGAAACAAAATGTTCTGTCTTTTCGCTTTGTAGTTGCATGCAGTCAACAATTGCCTTTGTGTAATAGGTGCTCCACTTCCCCGTGCAAACTGAAGGGAAATATAATTCAGTAGGAGCCACCATTGTTATGAAACTGGCTTTGATGTCAAGCCAGAGGGCAAGCAACACATTTATTAGAAATTGCGGCTTGTAAACAAAAAATCTCTGCTAACCACAGTTTTTCAGCAAATGACTGTGAGGCTGAGAAGGAAGACAAAACTATCCGGTGGCTACTTGAAATGATAAAGCCAGAGTCTGATCTTACTTAGCTTGATTTTACCAGTATAATTCTGTTAATCCTTGATTGATGTTCACACAAAACAGAATCAGACTGTTAGATTTTAAAGTAGCTATGGAGTAGCAACTAAATAAAACCTGCCTCTTGGATCTGAATGTTTGGACCATAGAAATGAGAAAAAACCACACTGATTTTCCCCTGTATACACACGTGTACGTGTGTCTGTGAGCCACATGAGTAGGTTTCTGTGAGAGTTAAACAATGACGGTATGAACAGTTCCCTTACTTTAAGATGGAAGCTTTAGCAAGGCGCAGCA